AACAGAGATCAAGAGATTGGGAGGTTACAATAGCCAGATCTAGAAATTTTCATCATTATTTTGGAACTATAAGCTCATTGATCTCTAAACCTTGTTGAGAGAGGGAAGAAACAACTAAGTTTTTATCAATTTCTCACGATGAGGAGATGTTGGGGCAACTTAGGCCTTGTGGCTATAGAGCTTCGAGTGAAGGGTTAGGAAAACTCGCAAAAAGGGTGAGGAAAAAGAAAATCAGCCTTAACCCCTTTAAATACCAGATTTTCTTTTAAGCCCCTTAGGTTGGTGAATTTTAATTATTAGACACGACAATAATAATTTCTTCCATATAAATCCTTAACTTAAATTTAAATTCACATATACTAATATATTCATGTATACATATATACGTCTAAATTTTAGAAATATTGGGATATTACAACAGTCATTAACATTATGTCTCTCTTTTAGCTTTAATGAAGAGAACTCTTCTCTTTATTTGGGCAATTTTGGTCATCCCTTTCTGTACCTCGTTTGCTGCTCTCTCCTTCGGTGACTAACTTATCACCACTGCATTTGCCTCTATCTTTGGTCTCTCTCTAAAGCTGCCACATACCCTTGCTTCCTTTTCCTTTATGGCCATTCGATTTCCTTCTAAGTATACCTCAATATAGAAAGGCTTGGGAAGCAAAATTTGGTGAGGATTTGTGGGATTACCCTATGATTGGGCTACCTTATGATCCAAACTTATGCTTGACTCCTAATCTCCATCTTGGATGCTTTGACTTCAGATATGCAAGTCATATGATGTGACAATATTTGTTTCTTAGCCATTATTTACATATTTTTCTTGATCTTTTGGTATGTGGTTGTATGCTTAATCATCATGATTGATCTGGTATGATTTTTGTTTGGAGTATTTGTTAGGGATTAAAGAACTAATGTCAAGGATTAATCCCCTCAATCTCAATCAAATACAAATAATCAAGTCAAATTAAGTATGAAAAGTAAAAGACATCGGGGTTTTTACATGGACAACCCAAATGGGAAAACCCATGGGGTGCTTACCCAAATGCAAATCAATCCACTATCAAAATAGTTGGATTACAATCTTTGGATCAATATCCAAATTTCTCAATTCCTCATCATCTCAAAGCTCTCTCAACATTTCTTTCTTTTTCACACCTCTTTCAGACTTAGTTACCTTTTCATTAAGTTACATATTTATACTAGAGATAAAAATAGGGGTGTTTGGATGCAAGGATAGTAAAAATTAACCATAAATAACAAAGTCAAACCTTGGGTTAAACTAATCAATGGCTTCCAAGTTATCCATCACAATCAATAAGGACAAATTTGTTAACTTGATGAAAGTTTAAGGTGTCATTTTCCTTTTCCCCATTTTTCTTCAAGAATTGCAAGTACATATTATACTTCTTCAAAACCATTCTAGTGGCTTCAAAAGTTCTAAACCTTTTGTTTTGGTTCTAGAACTTGTGCTTCAATTCTTCGCACACAAACTAGTAATCTTAAATGTTCCAAACCTTTTTCTTTCATTCAAGAACTTTTTAGTAGATACTTAAAATTTTCTCTTTTCAATACTTCCTAAGTTTCTATCATCATTAATGCACTCAAAGGTGCATCTTCATTATTGAGCCACCCAACTTAAGAGGGCTAGTTTGACAATCTGCCTCACCTGAATTAGTTAAAGGGCTTCACCAAGCCCACTTGTGATTAATAAAATTCAAACTTATTTCTCACCAAGGACTTGGTCATCATATCATAACCACTATCATCCATGTGGACTTTTTCAACTTTAAACACCTTTTCTTCAATTGCATCACATATCCAATGATACTTCAACTCAATATACTTTGTTTTAGAGTGAGATTGTGGGTTTTTGTTGAAGTAAATAACACTATAATTATCACAAAACAGCACAGACTTCTCTTGCTAAAGACCCAACTCTTCAAAGAAATTCTTAATCCATATAATCTCCTTTCCAACTTTAGATAAAGTTATATATTTAGTTTCTATAATAGACAAGGATAGACCATTTATAGTTTTAACTTCCATGAAATTGCTCCCTTACATAAGGCATCAAGTATTTAAAAGTAGACTTTCTGTTGGCCAAGTCTCCACCCAAAACAGCATCACTATAACCATCAAGGGTTCATGCTCATCATAACATAAACATATAAGATGTACCTTTGAGATACTTAAGAATCCACTTAATAGCTATGTAATATTGCCTACCAAGATTGGATAGAAATCTACTCACTACCCTATTGCATGAGCTATATTCAACCCTATGTATATCGGGGCATACATTAAGCTACTAACCGTAGATGCATAAGATATATTCTTGATATCTTCTACTTCCTCCTTACTTTTAGGACATTACTCCCACTAAGTTGGAAATGACCTATAAGTGGAGTACCTATGGGCCTTGCTTTTCTTATGTTAAACTTGTTAAACACATTCTCAATATACTTCTCTTAAGTTAAACATAGTTTGTTCTCATTTCTTTCTCGACAAATCTTCATTCCAAGAACTTACTTTGCTAGACCTAAATCCTTCATCGAAAAGAACTTATTCAAATCACTCTTCAAAGTTGTAGTTTTTTTAGTGTTTATGGCCAATAATCAACATATCATCCACATAGAGTTGAAGTGTCAAGAAGTCACAATTTTGATATCTCTTTACATAAACATAATGGTTAAATTCAATTCTAGTAAATTTAGGTTTACTCATAAAAGAGTCCAACTTATGCTACCATTGCCTTGGAGTTGGTTTGAGGCCACACAAGCTCTTCTTCAATTGGCACACTAGATTCTTTTTGCCTTGCACCTTAAATCTTTCACATTGCTTTATATAAATCTCTTATACAAGATCACTATAGAGAAATGTTGTCTTAACATCAAGTTGTTCAATCTCTAAATTTAGGTTGGCTTCTAAGCCCAAAACAACTTGAATGGAGGACATCTTCATTATTAGTGAGAAAATGTCATTATAGTCAATATTCTTTTGCTGTCTAAAGCCCTTTACTACTAGTCTAGCTTTGTACCTTGACTTAGGATTTATTGACCTTAGACTTTAACTTGCAAACCCATTTATTGTTAAGTGCCTGTTTGTCATTTAGAAGCCTTACCAACTTATAAGTGTCATTCTCTTGTAAAGAATTCCTCTCATCCTGCATTGCCTTTAACCATTCTTGTTGTTACTCTCCATGGCTTCATTATATGTTTTTGGCTTTTCCCCATCAATCAAAAGCACATACTTTTTGTTAGAGTACTTCTAAGATGGTTGATGTGATATAGTAGACCTTTTAACTTGAGGTTGTGGTGGTGGTTGCACTTGTTCTTCTTATTATGGTTCTTCTTTAACAGGATGTTCAACAATTGGCTCTTGGACTTTCTATTCCTCTACTCCCTCGTGATCATCATTCACTACACTAGGTTGAGATATTGAAGGAGAACAACAATCATTATGTGGTATTTTCTCAATAAACTTGGTTTCATTTTGCTTTTATGAGTCTTCAAAAATTTCATTCTCAAGGAGCACTATAACTCTAGTTCTCATGAGCTTTTTATTCTTCAAGTCCCACAATTTATAACCATACTCCTCATCACCATATCCCAACAACACACACTACTATCTTCTTATCAAGCTTTGCTCTATCCTCTTTTGCACATTTGCCCTACAACCATATACCCTCAAATCATAAGATACTTTTTTACCTAACCAAACCTTATTTGGAATATCATCATTTAGAACAACTAAAGGACATCTATTTATCAAATATGTTGTAATCTTTAAAGCCTCATTCGAGAAAGACTTTAGCAACTTAGCATGAGAAAGCATGCAAACAATTCTATCACAAATAGTTTTATTCATCATTTTAGCAACTCTATTGTGTTGTTGAGTCTTAGGAGTAGTCTTCTTTAGTTTGATTCCTTGTAGTAGTGTTCAAATTGTCCACTATACTTAGTCTTTATTAGACAAAGGATAAGCCTAGAACTTTCTAGAGAAATTATCAATGAAGGTCACAAAATATGTAGCAGACATCAACATGAACTAAATCAAGTGCATCTTTTCTTTTAGACAAGGGTAGAGTATGAAAAGAAACTCTGTAAAGCTTACTAGCTAAATAATCAACACAAGTTTTAGAGGGTTTAATTATAGTACTAAGTAAAAGTTCCTTCTTGTTAAGGATGTGAAGTCCTTTCTCACTTAAATGCCCAAGCCTCATTTGCCATAACTCAAGTCTTGGCCTTCACTACATTGACTTGTCTTTACATTGCTTTGCTTGAGTCTCATAGTGTAAACCTCTTCTTTTCTTTTGCAACAGTCATAATACCCTTTGTGAGCTTCCAAGTGTTGTCTCCAAAGTATTTATGGTAGCCATTATCATCTAGCATACCTGTAGACATCAAGACATATTTTAGAAACATGTCTCACATTCTTTAAGTGCAACTTGGACCTAATGTTTGTTTCAAGCCAAACATCTCCAACACCCACAATCTTGGCTTCAGACTTGTTTCCTATCTTCAAGTGACCAAAATCACTTCTATGTAAGAATTAAACTAATCTTTACTTGGTGTGACACAATAAGAAACAATAGTATCAACAACTCATGTAAAATTTTGATTAGCAACATTAATAGTATCATTCTCACATAGCAACTATACTTCACCATTAGAAGTGATTGTGGTGATATTCTCATTGACCTTTTTTTCTTCGTAAGTGTCAGCTCTTTTCTTAACTCCCTTATTTTTGTTATGCCAACAATCTCTTTATAAATGAACTTACTTTTTGCATCCATAACAAGTCACTCTACTCTTAGATTTTGACCTACCTTTGGACTTCCCCATGCTGTATCTTTCTTGAAATTGGCTATCATTGTCTCTTAGAGTGTACCTTTACTTACTCCTCCCTCTATACTTAGTGATCAATGCTTCAAACTTAGAGCTCATAATGCCTTGCTCTTTTCTTCTAGATTCCTCACTCAAAATGTTATCCTCAACTAATTGCAAAATTATCTCCCCATATTTTATTGAGTTGCTCAAAGTTACCATCAATGTGCCCCATCTCTTATGCCTCATCATCAATGGCTAGATTCACTATAATAAGTTGATTCAAGATTTCGTTAACATGGTTCAAATGCTTAGCCACATTCTTGCCATTTGTGAACTTGAGATTTACTAGGTTTCTAATAAGAGATGCTTTTTTCAAGGTATTCTTTCTCTCAAACAACTCTTCAAGCTTAGTCCACAATTTGTAAGACTCATTCTCAACCATATGATTTATCCACCCATTTTTGAATTACACCTAATATAAAAGTTGTATAACCCATTATTTTTGTTTATTTCTTATTTCAATTAAATTTGCTTCACTACTTGGGTTTACTTATTTTCTATTTTTTAATTTAACAATTACTATATCTTCTAATCTTTAGGATGGAGACTACTAGGGTTCGAGAGAAGGATGCGGCGGCCAAAGGGGACAGCGACTTCCGACGGCGACAAGGGCTCAGGAGGCGGATTCCAGGGTTCAGTAGTCAGTTGTCAGGACAGGCTCGGACGTTCTTTTTCTACAATTTTCCTGAGAATTTGAGAGCAAAGGATCTGTGGTATTGTTTTCAAGGGTATGGAAAGGTAGTTGATGTATTTGTGCCGAACAAGAGAGATAAATGGGGGAAAAGATTTGGTTTTGTTCGTATGGTAAGGGTGATGAATGAGTATACAATGGAGAAGAGGCTTAATGAGATTTGGTTCGGGTTTTATAAGTTACGGGTGAGGATCGTTGATCGTCCTGTGAAGCAGAGTTCAAGGCCGGAAAAGATGACAAGGAGCAATGCGAATAGATTGGTTCAACCTGGGCAGTCTTATGCACAGGTGGTTGTGGGGAACAATCAGAGGTATGTCAAGAAACAGGATAATGTATCGGAAGTACCTGAAAAGGAGAAAGGTAACGTTCAGGTGGAGATGGTCCCAGTGCAGACAGTACAGCTTGAAAAGAATGAGTATGTTGGCTCAAGTGATACGATGCAGGGGCAGACGGGGATGGTGGGGAGTGTAGGGGTTCAAACTCAAGCGACAACCATTGATTTTTCTCCGTCGGAGAAGGAGCTACATTGGTTGGAGGGGGGTATGGTGGCATTATTAAAGTCATTAAGGTTTATTACGAGTATACAGGATATTGTCGATGTGGATGGAGGGATGATTTCAGTATCACCATTAGGGGGCAGATCAGTGCTGTTAACTAAAAAAGTGAAAGGTTACCTGGGTGAGTTTATGGAGCAAAATAAAGAATTGTTCGACACATGGTTTGATTCCGTAAGGCCATGGGCAATGGCAACTTCGATGAGAAGTAGGCTAGTTTGGCTGCGAGTTTCAGGCGTCCCGTTGAAAGCGTGGTGTGATAGGTGTTTTGCATTGATCGGAGGAACAGTGGGTGAGGTGGTGATGGTGCATGATGATACCAGAAATAAATTTTTTATGTGTGAAGGAAGGGTTTTAGTTCTTTGTAGTGATGAATTCAAAATTGCTAAGACTGTACAATTGAAGATCGAGGGCCAGACATATGAGGTAGGAGTTGTGGAGGAAGAATGGAGGTCCGATCCCGACTGGTGGGTATTGGACGGTGACCGGCAGAGCTATTCAGGGGCTTCATCGGAATATTCCGCACAAAGTGGTGACGAAGATCCAGAAATTAGTATAGACGAGATTAGCGCCGAGGATGATGATAGCATTGATTTGGAGCAGTTTCAGAAGGAAGGGGTTTTGAATTCAAATGGTAAGGAAGTAACGGCTTAGGAGGCAGATGGCATGAGTGGCGGATTGAGCAATATGGGAGGATAGAGGACTTGCATGGGCTGGTAAAGGATAATGGGTTGATAGATGGTATTGGGCCGGGAGTGAGTCTTACTGGGCTGGTTGAAAATGGTAAAAGCAGAAGGCCCAATGACTTAGTTCTAGAAGGGTCCGCATGTGATAAGGTCGGTAAAGAGGGGATGGGTAAAAGGAGGAGACAAATTGCAGATTGTTATCCGAAAGAGGGGAGAGAAAATCGGGAAGATCAAGCAGATTGGGTGACTGGGCGGACGAAGCAGAGGCGCGCGAGAAGGGTGAAGGCGCAGCAGCTGCCAGCAGAATCGGGAAGGTTGCAGCAGATGCCAGCAGAATCGGGAAGGTTGCAGCCAGCAGAATCGAGAAGGAATCAGCAAGAAGGAAGAGGCGCCTCTATCTCAGATGGGTGTATTGCTCACCGGAACCGTGTGATTCAACAGGATCTCAGTATGCAAGAGGTAAGAAGGTTGATTACAGCTGGGCGACGGCTGGGTATGCAGTTCCAGGGAAGTGAAGAGGAGGTGGAATCTCGGTTTTTAGAGCTGGAGCAGAGGGATGAGGCACGGGGGAGAAATAGTTAAGTTATGGGTCTGTTGGGAGGTAGAGTCGGTGTGGGTTGGTGTTGAAATGAAATTTGTTTCTTTTAATGTCAGAGGGTTGGGGGGTACGGTGAAGAGGAGGGAACTGGGAAAATTAGTAAGGGTAGAGAAACCAGATTTTTTATTTGTTCAGGAGACCAAATTAGAAGAGGTAGAGGAAGAATTGTGTAAAAAGTTGTGGTATTCCGATGAGTTTGGGTGGAGTATGAAGAGCTCGGTTGGAGCATCTGGAGGGTTGTTGTGTGTGTGGAACAGGACAGCTTTTGGCAAAGTGGAGGAATTTACAGGGGATGGGTACTTGGGTATAAAAGGGGTTTGGGGGTCAAAAGAAGAGCCGTGTGTTTTTGTGAACGTATATGCTCCGAGTGATAGAAGGAGCAAGGTTGCGTTATGGGATGAGCTCAGACAGAAAATTACAGAAGAGGGTGGGAGATGGTTGCTGGCAGGGGATTATAATGCTGTTCGGTGTCTTGAAGAAAAAAGGGGAAGGACAGGTATGAGTGTAGATATGTCGGAGTTTGATGCTTTCATTGAGACAACAGGATTGGTTGATATTAAGTTGGCCAATCAGAAGTTTACATGGTATAGACCGGATGGTACATCCATGAGCAGATTGGATAGGATACTGATGACTGTGGAGATGAGCAGTATGGGTGAGGAATGAGTGCAACAGGGGTTGAGGAGGAATATATCCGATCATTGTGCTATTATCTTGAAAACAAGAGTTGCAGATTGGGGGCCTAAACCTTTTCGGGTGTTGGATGTTTGGTAGCAACATTCAGAATTTAAGAAAGTAGTTGAAGACAAATGGAATGAGACGGTGGTTGATGGGTTTGCAGGGTATAGATGCTTACAGAAATTAAAGGTGCTGAAGAATTTTTTGAAAGGGTGGAATAAGGAAGTGTTTGGGGATATAGAAGTTAAATTTCAAGTTGCTATGGATAAGGTTGCGCAGATGGATATGAAGAATGAAGAGGCTGATTTAGAAGGGGAAGAGTTGGCTGAAAGACAAGAAGGCTTTAATGAAATGTGGGATATTATGAAGAAAAGGGAGATATTATGGAAGCAGAAATCAAGATGTAGCTGGGCAAAATTAGGGGATGCTAATACGAGGTTTTTTCACAAAGTGGCAAATGGTAGAAAGGTTCATAATAACATTAATGGGTTTGCATGTGAAGGCAAATGGGTGGAGGAGCCAAAGAAGGTGAAGAAAGAGGTGGTCAGGTACTTCAGTAAGATGTTTGCCGGAGAATCATGGCAACGACCCAAGCCTGTCGGAATCAATTTTAAACAGATTTCGGAAGAGAAGAAGGCGGAGTTAGAAAGGCCCTTTTCTGTAGAGGAGATTGAGGAAGGATTGAAGAGCTGTGAGGGATCTAAAGCGCCCGGGCCGGATGGATTCAATTTTAATTTTCTCAAATGTGTGTGGAACTGTTTGAAGGAGGATTTTATGAGCTTTTTTGAGGAATTCCACCAGAATGGCAGGTTAGTAAGAGGATTAAATTCTTCTTTCATAACATTAATCCCTAAGAAGTTAAATCCTTTAGAATTAAAGGATTTTAGACCTATTAGTTTGATTGGATGTCTGTATAAGTTATTGGCTAAGGTGCTGGCTAATAAGTTAAAGGGCGTAATGTCGGGGTTAATTAGTGACACGCAATCTGCTTTTCTGGGGGGTCGCCAATTGGTTGATAGTGTTCTAGTGCTAAATGAGGTGGTCGATGAGGTGAAATTGAAAAAACAGAAGGCCTTCGTTTTTAAAGCTGATTTTGAAAAGGCTTATGATTGTGTAGATTGGGCATACTTGGATTGGATGCTGTGTAGGATGGGCTTTGGAATGAAATGGCGCGGGTGGATGAGAGAATGTCTTTCAACAGCAAGGATTTCGGTATTAGTTAATGGGAGTCCGACGAAGGAGTTTGTGATGGGAAGAGGTTTAAGGCAAGGTGATCCGTTATCACCGTTCCTTTTTCTGATAGCTGCTGAGGGGTTAAATGGGTTAGTTAGGAGAGCTGAAACTGAAGGAATGTTACATGGTCCAACAGTGGGTAATAAGGGGTTAACTGTTTCTTTGCTTCAATTTGCTGATGATACAGTGATTTTGGGGACTGCTGACAGCGAAAATGTATTTGCGGTGAAGACCATTCTAAGATGTTTCGAGTTGATGTCTGGATTAAGGATTAATTTTTCCAAGAGTAGTGTGGTTGGGTATAATGTGTCAGAAAGGTGGATTAAAGGGGCAGCAAGTGTCTTACATTGCGGTGTTGGGGAAACTTCTTTTATGTACTTGGGGTTGCCAATTGGTGGGAAGATTAGGTGTAAGAAGATGTGGGAACCGATTTTGAAAAAATTTCGAGCCAAGCTTGTCATCTGGAAGTCTTCTACGTTGTCCTTTGGGGGCCGCATCACTCTACTCAACTCGGTACTCTCTGCTATCCCTATCTTTTATATGTCATTATTTTTAATGCCGAATTGTGTGGTTTCGGAGTTGATTAGTATTCAACGGGCTTTCTTGTGGGGTGGGGCGGAGTTAAAGCGGCGAATTCCTTGGGTTAAATGGGATTATATTTGTTTCAGTAAGAGGAAGGGAGGCTTAGGAGTGTCAGATTTATGTAGGAAAAACTGGGCGTTATTAGGAAAATGGTGGTTCAGATTAGGAGATGGGGTGGAGGGTTTGTGGAAGAAGGTGGTGTGGGAGAAATACTACGGGGGTAGGGAGGAAGTAGATATTACGGCTTTGGAGAGTGTGAGGGTATCTCGGATTTGGAGGGATATTATTAGTATAGGTCAAAGATCTGGAAGGTTACAGGATATGTTGGTCAAGGGTTTCAAATGGGGGGTAGGGGAGGGTTGTCGAGTAGGGTTCTGGAGGTCGGTGTGGGTGGGGGAGAAAGCTTTAAGGGATTTGTGTCCTAGATTGTTTCAGTTGGCTATAAATAAGGAGGGTTTAGTAAGTGAGATGGAGGGTTAGGAGGCGAGTAGGTGGAGGTGGAATATAATGTGGAGGAGAGGGAGGTTTGGAAGGGAGAAGGATGAGGAAGTGATGTTGTGGGAGGTGTTGAGTACAGTTGGTCTTAAGGTGGGAGTTGAAGATTGGTGGCAGTGGATTCATGTTCCAGATGGGAAGTACGGGGTGAAACAAGCGTATGAGTTTTTAGAATCGACGGAATCTATCCTTAATGATTGGATGTGTAAGTTAATTTGGTGTCGGTTAGTTCCATCTAAAGTAAGTTTCTTTGGGTGGAGATTAGGCCTTCAGAGACTTCCTACAAAATGGAATTTGCAAAAGAGAGGTGTGGTGTTAGAGGGGGGCTTAATGTGTGGGCTGTGTAATGAGGAGGTGGAAGATATTAATCATGTGTTTTGTACTTGTAAGGAAGTGTGGTTAATTTGGGTGAGGGTTTTGTCTTGGTGGGGGTTTGAGGGGGTGTTGCCGGGTATGTTGGAGGGGGTTGCAGAAATTTTCTGGTATGGGTTGGGTAAGGTGGTAGGGAAGGAGTTGGGAGCATGCCTTTTTCTTGTCACATCATGGTATATATGGTATTGGAGGAATTGTAGAGTATTCAAGGGAGATGTGGCCCTTCGGGAGGGGTTGTTAGTGATGATACAGGAAAAGACTTTCTTCTGGTGCAAGAATAAAGTGCAGGGATGTGTATTTTCGGTTAGTGACTGGAAGTTAAATCCACATGGGTGTGCTGCAGTTATGAGAAATCATAAGAGGAGGCAAAAGGAGTTCCGCCTAAACCAAATAGGAAAGGTATAGAGGTACCCCTTCTTTTTTTTGTTTTCATTGGGTAGAATTTAATTTTGTATATGGGTTAGAGTACCCCTTGTACTCTGCATTATAAAGTTGATTTTTGCTGATAAAAAAAAAAAAAAACTTATTTTCTATTTTTTTTTCTTCTCACCAACCAAGATAGGGCTTGAGATATTGTCAATACTTCCTTTTAAGGTTAGTGGGGTATTTTTGTATTTTTCTTGTACAATGTTGCTCTAAATGAGCTTTCTAATGGACTCTTTAGGATGGAGAACATTGAGGGGTGTATTGGTCCCCAAATTTGGGTTTGTTAATGGAGCTACCAAAAGAGTGAGAACACCTTCATAATTTAATTTGCTTATTTGCTCAGTATTTTTTCTATTCTTATAAACACTTGTTATTTGCTGCTTGTTTTGCTAGATTAATTCCTTTCAAGGTGTATGCTATGACAATCCTTCTCTTTCTTTGGATTGTATGTGGTCCTACCAAGAGATAATTTGTTTCTTATGGGTTTCATTTTCTATTTTCATGTTTTTATAAAGCTTGAGCAAAAATTAGTGATACATTTGAATATCTTTTAGAAATATTGTGTTGTTTTGATATATATATATATATGCTGTTAATTTTCTAATTTTTTGCTCTAGATAATCCTATGCAAGTAATTATGGTGTTATTGCTATGAGTATTAAATTTGCAGGTAACTCTAGGTATAATAAGAAGCTTTATTGATTGTTATATGTATTATGATCAAACGTGGTTTGATCAAAAGTTTTTTAGTTCGTGTTTGAATGATTTGATCACAATTAGCATGTTTTTAAGATTTAACCTATTTTCGCTATTCATTTTGTTACTTATTTTTTAGATATAATAGGAAGGCAAGGTTGTGATACATTGAAAAGAGGTATCAAACTTATTATTCTTTTTAAGGTGTTGAACTTAGATTAATACTCATATTTCATTTTTTGAAGCATCTTATAAATGTTATTGGATTCTACACATGAAACTAAATATTTTGCAAAAACTAAATATTTTGAAAAAAAAACTAATGTGTAAGTTTTAAATAGCATTTCTCAAGAGATTGTGCTTCTTCTTATGTGCTAAGAATTTATTTCAATAAAATATTATGGATACCAATGTTACTTGTTGATGTCCTTTACATGGAATTGAGACAACCTCAAGGGTTATGGATTGGGAAATGATAAGAATAGCCTTTGATAAGGCATTGATAAGGTGGGTAAAATTAAATTATCATGGTTTAGAGATATTTAGCTTAGCTAGTTGTTTATAACTTTTCATCTAATTTTTGGCTTAAAAGAAAATGTTACTACTCATTTTCTACACTAAAGTATTGATACTTTAACTATATTCATGAACTATAGTCTAAAAATGGTAGCAATATATTCATACTATGCCTTCTCTTATATGTTATATATTTCTTTTTTTATTTTTCATAGTTTTTTGGGGCATGGTAACATTTCTCAAGAGATGTGCTTTCTATTATGTGCTAAAATTTTGTTTCAATAAAATATTATGGATGCTAATGTTACTTGTTGATGTATTTTACATGAATTTGACAACCTTAATTGATGGGAATCAAGATGACAGCATATCTACTATGTCATGTGATCCATTACACACCCAAGGAGGTCCAGTCACGTGAGTTAGAGCTAAGAAGATGCATGAAGTTTTAAATGGCCTTATTGAGCAAATCTGGGTTGAAAACAACATACAACAAGCAAATCGAAGCTTGGATGATTATCAAGGCATGGTAAACATCATTCAGGTTCAAGAGAAGCTTAGTTGAGGTCATTTGCACGGAATCACACAGTTTGCGTCAAAATCGCACAGTTCTGTCGCAATTTGTAGCAAACTGATATTTTGTGTTATTTTAGGTTATTTTTAGTGATTTTCATGTTTTTTGTATTATTTTTGGGCTGAACATTCGCTTATGTGAAGCCCAATTCGTGGTTATTAGGTTTAGGACTTAGGGTGTTAATTTCCTATTTTGATTAGGATTTGTTTTCTCTATTTAAAAG